GGGTAGGAAAATATGTAGGGCCAGACCATGCAGGCTCTGGTAAGGGGTTATTCCAAGTGCCATGGTTTATCAGTTAGCTAATGCTATATAACAAATAACCCCCAAAAAAAATAGGATAAAATTGGGTAGGAAAATATGTAGGGCCAGACCATGCAGGCTCTGGTAAGGTTTTATTCCAAGTGCCATGGTTTATCAGTTAGCTAATGCTATATAACAAATAACCCCCAAATGTGTTTAAAATAAAACACATTGATCTAAAAGCATCTGTGGGTCCAATGCTTTGAACTAAAAAGGACACAGTAGAGAGACAGAGAAGTAAGGCAAAGGGGCCTTGCCAATGGATGGAACTGGAGGCAAGACAAGAGGACTTGGGGATGGAGACACCAGGGCTTTCTGGGCCATGTGCCCCCAGCCTATGGGGTAATGGTGCTTTGTGGGACATTATCCCCATCCTCCCTCCTCCAGTACTACTCAAGGCTACACATCTTCTGGGGGACTAGCCAGCAGAAGGACCATGGGCTCTGAGCACAGCACAGATATCCCCTCATGCCAGGCCAAGGAACAAACACCCTGTCCTCAGCCTCATTAGGCTGCCCACACTCAGGCCAAGCAAGCCAGGGACCAAGGGTTCAGGGGGAAGACAAGTTCTCTAGGGGCGATCACACAGTCAGCAGAGCTGGAGGGGAGAGAAGGCGGGGATATGAATGTGTGCCTTCCTGTCTGTGTGAGTGGACAGCAGCTGGAGTGGTGAGTAGCTCAGGACACAGTTCCTAAAACTGATCCTGGAATATCAAGGCATCGCTACTAAGTTACAGAGCGTTAAACACTGACATTCTTTACTGAAAAACTTTTCAGATAAAGATTTACACAAAATCTTCACCTATACATGTAAGGGTAAATAAACTGTGATATGTTTATTTCTGATTGAATTGTTAGAATGCTAAGCACCTCGGCGATATCCCTCGTGATCCTCAAAGCAACTCAGTGGAGGAGATGCTTACCTCATCCTATTTCATAGATAGAAAAATTTAGGCTTAGAGAAATTAAACTGATCCAAGCGATACAGCCTGGATTTGACCCAGGTCTGTATGACTCCAAACCCATGTTCCCAATTCTATTGCCACCCGTCTTTCTGCTAGGTGGCTGGAAGAATTACCAGCTCCTGAAGGAAAAATGGGACAGGGGTGCACTGAGAAGTGAGCTCAGGCTCTGACCTCTGTGGGCAGCAAGTGGTGTCCCCTGGTGGTGGTAGAAAGGAAGGGCAGTAGGGTCAGAGCTGAAGCTTGACCTTTTATTGGGAGACGGATCCAGAGGGGTCCCTGGAGCAGACAGAGGGTTTCATCCAGTCAGTGTGTCTACTTTCCTTGGCTCAGGGATTTCTTTGCGCCTGCCTGCCCAGGCAGTCTGGCACAGATCAGAAGTGATTCACACCGGTAACCCAAATGACATCACCAAACACCAGCCACATTCTTATTCAAAGGTAGCCTTCACACCTAAATTCTCTGCCACTCTTGCATGGAAGCTACTGGCATCCTCTTGGTTGCAGTGCAGGCCTGGGACTTTGCCTCATTGGGATGTCAGGCTGGTCACTGAAGGGGCAAAGCATTCTAACTGGATTGGTTTTATTGCAGGGTCCAGGCCCCACATGGGGGACTGATTTCCCGGGGATCTCCATAGCACTCCAGGCCCCCAGCTTGTGGGGAATCAATCAGTCAAGGATGGGGTAAGATAGGACAGGAAGTGCTCCAAAGCTGAGGAACATGGGGGTGGGCATGGAGTGAGGATTTGGGGAGTGAGGGCAGAGATGGAGAAGGCATGATGTAGGTTCTTCAAAACATCAGGATACCTTGGGCATTTGGCACAGCCCTACTCAGAGCCTCTAGAACAGGAATCTGCATGTGCTGCCCTGAGAATAAATGAAGAAACAGAGCTGGAAAATGCAATCTCCGAAAGTCTCATCTGTCTCTCTCCACCTGCCAAGTCTGTCCTCCAGTCTATGAGGCTCTCTCCTGGGGAGGGTGCAGGGCAAGTGAGGGAGCGGTGCAGGTGGGGACCCACAACGCCTGTGTTCTATTTCCAGCTCCTATCTCTGACTCATAGTGTGACCTTGGTGAGGTCATGGCTATGTGCTTCTTGCTGTGGAAAACAAATCAGAGGTGGCAAAGCTTGCATTTTCCCAAGAGACAGGACTCCTAGAATCTGGGGTCCCTCCTACTCCCCATTAACCCCTGCTATGACTGATCATGTTGCTATAAATAAAAAAATTCAGATTTGGATCTAAATTCAGGACACTCAAAGCAAAAAGCAAAGAGCTCCCGCTGTGTGAAGACTTACGGGCACTTGCACATGGAACAGTTCTCCCAAGAGTACCAAATCATGCGCCCCACCCAAATGATTCCCATAACCCCCACCTTGTCTGTCCAAGGAGAGAGGATATGTTTTCTCCCTCTTTTCCAGATCTGGGAATCAAAGCTAGGAGTGATATTCCTCAGCAGCTTTATTACCAGGAGCCTCTTTTATGATTTTGCTACTGTTATGGCTTGTGTTTCACTGTCCCCTCAAAGCCTCATACCGATGAGGTGGGACTTTTTCAGGGGTGACTGAATCTGGAATGTGAGATGCTGGGGTTAAGGGCCTGTGATTACTAAACCATCACATGTGAGTGATTGGTTTGGCACTGCCCTAGTCCCGGTAGATTGAAAAGATAAAAGGGGCAGAAAGGTGCTGGTAATGCTCTTGCAACCCTGCTGCCTTGTGCATATCACGTTGTTTCTGTTCTGCCCTGCCTGTGTGCCTGCTGATTATGGACTGAAGCCTCTATGAACTGTAAGCCAAATAAACCCCTTACCCTGTAACTTCTGGTGTTAGGTATTTATTTTCCCATTGAGTTTATTGGAACTTTTAAAGTATACAGTACAGTTACATTCATCATTGGGATCTTGTACCTTTTCACAACAGGTCTTGGTTCTCATTTTTCCCCATCCCCCTGCCCTCCCTTCACCCCTGCACCTCCCCTATTTACAAAGTTTTTGATTTCATTTTTTCCTTTTCTCATATTTTTCTTTTCCTTTCCCCTACCCTTCCCACTTCCCTAAACCTTTAGCCCTTTTCTTCCTATTTCACATCATCAGTTATACAGTTTGGATCTTATTTACACTTTTAGTTTTTCACAGCAGAGAAACTGTTCAGTTTTTACATGTGTGCCTTATTTATTTCACTCTAAATGAAGCACTATTCTGACATAAAGAATGAGAAACTAGAGTCATTTATAAGAAAATGGATGCATATTGAAGGTGTCTGGTATTTTGTTTCAGCAATGAGAGAAAAGTAACTAAGACAGCTACCAAGTATTCTCCTGTTTTTCAAGCCCTTGTTGGTTAAATTCTCTGTAGTATTAGGTAGAAATACATTATTTTATTGATCATCATCACCAATGAGAGTCAGGTAAAGTTTCTGCTGGGTACAAAAGAACTAGCACTACCATTGAGTTCACTGCCAAGAATTGCAGTGTTTACTCTGGGCGGCCACCTCCTAGGGAAAAGGCCCAATTTCCTCCAGATGTTTTTGGAAATTTGAAGTGTTTGCCTTCAAAGGATCCAGGCTAGGAAGTGGTCAGAAAGACCAAGTGGCCTATGAAAGATTTTGTGGCTAGTGACAGGACCAGGCCCAGAGCCTGGGTCCTGACTCATGGGCCAGGGGTCCAGCCAGTTGGACCATTGTCAGGAGGGCTTGTGTGCACACTCACACCCACAGGCACATGGACACATGTGCAAGATGGAGTCCAAGCAGAGCAGGGGTCAAATGCTGCAGCTCAAACCAGGGAAGAGCCCCTTAGTATTGGGGTGAGCAGCCAGAACCAAAACTGGGGGTGGGAAAGGGGTGCAACCAATTCTTCCAGGTTGCTTCTGCAGAGTGGTGGCAGGTGGGGCAGGGGTCTATTCTGCCACCTACCTGTGCTCCAGCAACACACCCTTTCTAAAGTTAAAAAAAAAAATTACAAGCGTCTGTTGTACATATGATTCATTCAGTGTGGGGAGTTGGTACATGTATATGACACACCTTAATTCTTTGTTCATCTGCCCTTCCTCCCTTCTCCCTCCATCTTTTGGGCCCCCTTCTTTTTGCAAAAGATCCATCTCCCTGTTTTGTGTAATCTATCTTTTAATGCAGAGTTGATGGATCTGGGTGCTTTCAGACCAGCTTCATCCTAGCACTGCCTCTTTTAGAGGGTGAGATCAGAGTGGGGAGCTGAACCCCTGAAGCTGGGGACACCAGAGGCAAACTGGGAACCTTGAAAAAGTGAAGACTGGGACTCCAGAGGTCTACCTTGGTGGCTGGGGAGAAAAAGCTGCTCTCCTCCAGGCCCCCATTCCCCTGCAGGGCTCCTGTAAGTGCTCTCCTCTCCAGCCTTTGGCTCTGTCCCAGAGGCTCAGTATTTTATCCCGGGGCTTTTAAGGCATCAACTGCCTGTACCTTTGGAAAAAGGCTGGTGGCTTAGCACTTGGCTTCAGAATCCCCACTCCACCAATCCCCAGCAGGGTAGGGCAGGGTCTCTGAGGGCCTGTTGCCCTGACAGCTGTTCCTGGGGTTATTTTGGTCCAGGGGAGCTTGTCAATTCCAGGATGTTTGAACCAAAATAGCCAAAGATCAGTAGTGGTGCTGTGGGGACCTCCCCAAGGAAAGGTTGCTAAAATTGGGTGGGGCAGAGAGAAAGGGGCTTGGTTGGGGGTGTTGGGGGGGGGATGCTCTTGTCAATGTCTAAGGCTGGCTGGATCAACTGCCTGGGCCACCAAAGCTGCAGGTCCCCTGGAGAGAGAAGGAAACGCTCATTTCTGAACACTTTCTTGAATCCCTGACCCTCTGGAACAGCCAGAGTGAGAGAAACTTATTAGCCTTTTCCGTTTCACAGATGGGGCTCACTGGGTTCAGAGGCGGAGACACTGGTCTCAGGCCACACAGCTGGGAGCCTGGGCTGCAGTAACCAGAAGCAGAGGTGCCCGATGCGCTCCAGGTCCTTCGTGAAGCTCCAGCCACCACGGAAAGTGCTGAGTGGCCCTGGCTGTCCTTCCGGCCACAGCAGGGGCCTTGGCAGCCTCCTCCGGGACTGTGTGGGTCCGGAGCAGGGAAGAGGGAAGAGGAGAGCCCCGCCCCAACTCGGATGGATAGCGTCCCTTACGAAGTCCCCGGAAGCCTGCAGAGATTGTTCCTGGCATATAGCGACACTGACCCTTCCCGCTTCCTTGGGCAACAAAGACCGTGCATGGGACCGCGCTTTGGCACGGGCAGGCATCGGGCTGCGGGGCGTATGCCCCGGACACGCCCTGAGGGCCCGGCTCGCGGGCTGGGCTCTTGAACTTAGTC